CCCGCCCGCGCCGCCGGGCAGGGGCAGCGCCGCGCACCTGCGGGCCTCCCGTGCCCCGCCCCGCCCCGCCCCGCTCCCCTTGAACTTGCGTCAAAGGACAATTTGGGCAGCCACAGGCCGCCCCCGCACTTCAGGTCTAGGACGGTCGGGTTTCTCCCGGGGCACCGCCCTTGAGCGACCCGCGGGGGAGCGGGCAGAGCAGTTGCCTCCTTGCGGGTGTGCAACAGGTGCCAGTGCCCTCCCCTCCGCGGGCCGTGCAGAGCTCACGCTCCAGCCTGGGGGCTAGGACCCCCCAGCTACGCCGGATTTCATAGGTATGCCCTATGAAGACAGCCTCGGTGGGCTCTAGGGTGCGTGACCCCCCACCTTGAACTTGCGACCAGCAGCTGCAAGCAGATGCATGAGCCCAGGGGCCAGATGTGGAGGGAGGAGGAGCGGGCCCTCAAGGGCCGCGCGTCCACCCACCTGCCGGCTCCGAGGCTGGGAGGCAACATTAATATCGGGTCCCAGGGCCTCCATCGCCCGCCCCGCAGAGCTGCCCCAGCAGGGCCAGGCCACTCAGTGCTGTCTCGTCCCAGCAGCTACAGCTGAAGGGAAACCAGGCCACCTGTTGAGGTGCTTGTGACAATGGGGACCACAGGCTGCGCACAGACAGGTTTGTAGCACGCCGGTGCCAGCCCGCGGGGCAATACTGCTCCACCCGGTCCCCCGGCCACGATGCCACCGTGTCTTCCACCCCGTGCGCTGCAGAGCGAGGTGGCGCGGCGGTGAAAACATATCGGTGCTGTGTCTACGTTAGCGCTCTCTGATTATCCACCACCAAGAGCTATGTTCGTGAGCGCAAATTGGGGCAAGGTTCAGAAAAAGCTGCGCGTAGACCAGGACTCGAGTGATCCTCCTGGCAGATCGGGGGCGAAGTCAAGAATAAAGTCAGGGGCTTCCTGACTTTCCTGGGCTTGCTGCTTTGGTTTGCTGGTGGCTCTGTGGGCGGCCAGGTGCGAGATCCACTGCGGGGTCTGTCCTAATGTGTCTCGTGGCGGGTTTCGGCCGTTGCAGGAAAGCGGAGCTGTACGGCAAACAGCTGTAGCTATTTTATTCCTCCCGTGTTGCCAACTCCGTCTTTTTCCCACCCAGGTTTTCCTTCCTGGTCACGAGGGAAGCAGGCCAGTTGAGCGTGTGCTTGGTCAGAGGAAGAAAGAAGGGAGGAGGCCCCCCATCACGACAGCGCTGTGACACCCCGGCGTGTCTCTCCTCTCAAGGTCACCTCTCAGTTCAGGCCCCCTGGCACGCACCCCCGTTCCTACCTGGGAGCGGGTGCCATCCCACTATTTCCTGTTGTAAATGATTTCTAGAGCACGTGTGAAACAATTAAACGAACTGAGGAGCAGACTGTGCTCCACGAGATCAAAGGAACAAACCCTACAGCATTGCTTTTCTGTTGTGCTTTTCCTTTGTTTCTCTTGCCTCTTTTGTCCCGGGGCTTTGCCTGGAAAGCCGCCTCTTACTCGAGGGCTCAAACATGGATTTCGGGCTGGGCTTTTCTCAGGGATCCGGGTGGCCTCTGGAATCGGGACTCGAATTCAAAATTCAAGCCCAGATGCATAACTTTAGGCCCCCACATTTGAAAAAGAAAATAAATAGCCTCTGCTTCTACCCTAAAAAATGCAGCTCAGATAAGCAAGGAGCCCCCTTTTGCAAAGCAGCGCAAGGATGAGATCAAAAGAACGCCAATCCAAAACTCACAGATGTCCACGAGTCCAAACTCACGGATGTCCGCACAGATGTGCCCAGGATTTGGCTTAGATTTAAGCACGCAAGCTGTAGCAACGTTTGGCTGTTTCATGGGGACGGAGAGCGGAGGGTGCTAACCCAACGAAGCAGCCTAGAGTCACAGCCGTGGGCAGGTGGGATTGTTACCGCAGCTCTTTTCCGCGGTCGCTCGGGTGTCCGAAAGCCCCGCTCTCCCCCCGCCTTACGCTCTGGTTTGCTCCGGTCACTGCAGTAGGTATCAGAGTGAAGAAGGTCACAGGCCTGGGGCGGCTCTGCACACCCCTGCACCTCAGCACTTACTGCGTTTGCTCAATACAGGTACAATAAGGATCTCCCTTGATCGTCTCCTATTTGGCATCCCCAGGCCTGGGCTGCAGCTTGCACAGGTTTGCAGCCCACAGGCTGCGATGCTCTGTAGTGCTCTCCTTTCACGGGACTATCAATCAGGTCTGAATTGGCTTTGAGGGTTGAAGCGTGCTGCTTTGCCCTGGCACATCTGGAGCCCTCGGAGAGATGGCGTTTCAGCCTGTTTTCCCCATCTCCTTAGTTTTGTTTTTTTTCTTTTCTTTTTGTCAGTTAGCAGGGACCATCTCTGCTCTACCTGCTTGGAAATACCTATGTTATCTTTGCCCGGGCTTGTTCCCTGAGCAGAGAAAGTACTACGTGTTCAGCTTAGCTGTGTGCCTGCTTGGGTTATTTCTTCCAGAAACCTGCCATGGGAGACTACATAGGATGTTATGGGACTACTTCAGAAAACTCAAGGGCCCTGGCTTTCTCTTTAATTCCTCCTGGCCGGTCCCTTGTGCCCATCATCTCCATCTGCGACAGGCAGAACACGTGTTTGTGAAGAGCACCAAGGTCCTCAGCTGAGACAGGCCGTCCCTCTCCCCGGCAATGCCCCTGGATTTCTTTTAGGGCCATA